GCTGCCCTAGTTCTGTTTCATCAGTCTGCCGCCAGAAATAGTCCTGATTTCTTGGAAATTTCTTACCGTTCGGGTGTGGGTTAAAGTGGTGCCTCGTGGGAGTTCAGCTGGGGAGGCTGAGCCCACCTGGCTTCAGGGCATGGCCAGAGGAACCCCAGACCTTCCCCTCTCCATCCTGCTGCCCTGGGCAGCACATTGCCAGGGAAAAGCATATCCCGTGCCTGACACCATCTGTGGGTCAGGGGCTTCAGGGCCTGCTGGGCTGGGGCAGCAGCGGGGCTGGCATGGGGCTGCATCCCTGGGGAGCTCACGCAGCATCTCTCCCCACAGCTGGATCCACAGGCTGTGCAGACGAAGAACTGGCACATGGACGTGATTGAGATGAACGGGGTAAGCGGGGTTGCGGGGACATCCCTTAATTTGATAGCAGCCCCTTCCCCAGGGCTGTGCTGTGGCCTCGTGCAATGCAGAGGTGATGGGCCCAGGGCTGGGCTCTGGGACTCACCCCCTGTCTCTCACAGATCAAGGTTGAGTTCTCCATGAAGTTCACGAGCAGAGACATGAGCCTGAAGAGGACCCCGTCCAAAAAGCAGACCGGTGTCTTTGGGGTCAAAATCAGCGTCGTGACAAAGTACGTGCAGAACTGGGGGGAGACTGATCTGTTCTGGTCCCTGTGGGTGTGGGGCTGGGGGACTCAGGGGACCTGCTCTGTCCATGCACCATGTCCCTTTGCTCCCACCGACACTGGAGAGCTTGGCTTTTGCTCCCTGCTGGGGTCTTGCCTGTTCCTTTGCCAGTCCCATCCTTCCCGGCATGCCCATCCTGCCCCTGGCTCGGGGTTTGCAGGGCTGAGCTGACTGCCACACGATCTGGGAATCTCTGCTCATGGCTTTGCTTTCCGAGCCAGGCGTGAGCGCTCCAAGGTGCCTTACATCGTGCGCCAGTGCATAGAGGAGGTGGAGAAGAGGGGCATCGAAGAGGTTGGCATCTACAGGATCTCCGGCGTTGCCACAGACATCCAGGCGTTGAAAGCTGTCTTTGATGCCAGTGAGTGTCCTGGGGGACAGCTGTCCTTCCCATCACATTGCTCTGGGAGGTTTTGCAGGCGCTGAGAGCCCCCCAGCCTCCTGCCCGGCAAGCGCAGGGTCTGGATATTGCACTGCGCATGTGCAGAATGTGCTGGTGTGCCCAGGAAGGGGCTGGGGGCGAGGAGGAGGGTGTAGGGGAAAGCAAATGCCCAGAGGTCCCAGCCTTGTTTGTGCCTTGGTGCTGCTGAGCTGCCGCACGCCTGGCTGGCTCCTGGGAGACACTGAGTCAGGGAAACGTTGCAAATGGATTTGCAAATTGTTCCGCGTCCCATTGCCCAGCCAGGCGGGAACTGCTTGGCTCTTCCCAGCCCCAGCCCGGCTAAATGAGGCTGTGGACCGGGTGGTGCTGTGCCTGCCCTCTGTCCGGCGGCCTTGCTGGACAGCTGGGATGATGCGGGGGGGGTCTCCTGGGGAAGGAGGCGCAGGAGGTTTCACATGTGGGTGCTGTCTGGACAGATAACAAGGATATCCTGGTCATGCTGAGTGATATGGACATCAATGCCATCGCTGGCACACTGAAGCTGTATTTCCGTGAGCTGCCGGAGCCCCTTCTCACTGACAGACTCTACCCCGCCTTCATGGAGGGGATCGGTAAGGGCTTGGGGATGGGGAGGGGGTTGGTGCCCAAGCATGGCTCTGTTTAGCATGGCCTCCTTTGGGATGGGAGACTCACAAGGGTCTTTTCCCATCTTGATCCTGGCTGTCCTTGCCAGCTCCAGGCCATCTTGGTGCTCATGGTGCTGCTCTGCGGGGCGCAGGCAGAGCCCTGTGCGTCAGGGCTGGCTGCTTGTGCAGGGAGGTCTGGCCACGGTGGGTCCTGCTGCTGCATAAGATGTCACCAGCCTCTGTCCTGAGCCCTCTCCCTCCTTGTCTCCAGCCCTCTCGGATCCTGCTGCCAAGGAGAACTGCATGATGCACCTTCTCCGCTCGCTGCCTGACCCCAACCTCATCACCTTCCTCTTCCTGCTGGAGCACTTGAAAAGGTAACGGCTCAGCTTGGCCAGCCCCGTGGAGCAAGCGGCGGCTCCCGGGGGGTTGCCCGGCACAGGCGGGAGGTGCAGTATGAGTCTGCCCCACTGCTTTGCCATGGGGACGGGAAGTGAGTGGAATTAGAGCTGCTGTCTGATTCCTGTGGTGCCTGTGTGTCTGTGGGCTGATCCCAAACTGGAGGCAGATGGTGCTGTGCTGGTGCGGAGCAGGGCTCCAGGTGGCAGCCGGGGCCAGCAACGGCAGCTCAGTGTTGGGCAGGTGGCAGTGACCCTTTCCCATCCCCACGTGTCCCACCTGCCCCATCTCTCCAGGCTCTGACATGTGTTCAGGGGTCCTCACCCCGGTTCAGGCTGGGACCTGGCACGCCATGAGTCCCTTTGGTTGAAGTTGGTGTTGGCTTCCCACGGTTCCTCTCCGTGGGCCCTGTGAGATGCTGGAGGGATCGGGGAGCTGGGCTGTCCCACAGAGCAGCCACTGGCCAGTGTGACAGTGGGGACCGCGCAGCGCGAGGCCGCTCACGCAGGTCAGCTCTGCAGGGAGCACACGTGCCCTGGCAAGATGAGGCTCTTGGCTGCTGCAGACAGTGTGCAGCTGGTTGGATGAGCTCTCCGCAGGGAGCAGCTGGACTCAGTGCAGGATTGGGAATCAGCTGGGAGCTGTGCAGTGTCCCCTTTAGTGTCCCTTCCCACCAATCCAGCAGTAGCCCCTGCAAAACAAGGTGCAGTAATCCCTGTAACCTGTCTGCAGTGGGTGGCCAAGACCCAGAGACAGTCAGCTTCGTGAACACATCCCAGAGTTGCAGGTGACCCCCCATCCTGCTCATCCCAGGGCGAGTGCAGCAGTGTGTGGTTTGCCAGGCTTTATCCTGGCCCAGATGAAGCCTATCCGAGCCTGGGGATGGGCAGTTCTGGGGCTCACTGGGGCCCCAAAATCTGTGGAGGACATGGGGCTGTAGGCAGGACGGTGGTGCAGCATGCAGAGCCTGGCCAAGCTGGCCAGGAGTTTGGGACCGGGGCTTGTGGCTCATGTTACTTGCATCATGAAGTGGTTTGGTTGTTTTATTTTTTTCTCTCTGGTTTGGCTAAAATCAAACAGAAAAAGTGATTGATGCTGGGAGGTGGGGAAGGAAAAATCCATTTCCATCCTGAGAACCGGGCACAGCCAGTTCCCACATCTGCTCCCCTGGCCAGGGCTCAACCGGGCAGCCTGTGGGGGCACGGCTGCCTCCTAACATGGCAATGTTGCGGCCCCGGTTCCCTCGGTGCGGGTTGGCTGGGGTCCTTGGGGGCAGCGGCTGCGGGGAGGCATGGGCTGCTGCCGAGGTCCCCGTACCCTGCCGAGGCTTGGGAAGGGTGGAGGCTGTGCAGCACATAAGCAAGCAAGGGCTTGGTCGCTGCCACATCACTCCCGGGGCTCCGGGCCAGGCTCCGGCGGCTCCAGCGGAGGCCGTGAAGGGGGCAGAGCTCCCTGCCCTGCACCTGGGTTTGCCGGGGGCTGTGAAGGGCGCTGGGAAGTTGGATGTGTCCCACTTAGGCTGGGAGAAGGGAGATCAGCACTCGCCCTCCCCGCATCGCCCCATGGCTGCCCCTCTCCGGAAGAACAGCATTAGGGGCTCACGCACCCTCTCTGCTCGTACCCCACAGGGTAGCTGAAAAGGAGCCCATCAACAAGATGTCTCTCCACAACCTAGCCACGGTCTTTGGGCCGACACTGCTGAGACCCTCAGAGGGAGAGAGCAAGGGACACCTCACCCTGGCCTCTGACATCTGGTCCCACGATGTGATGGCCCAGGTAAGAGCCATGCTGGCAGCGTGGGGCTGCAGCCCATGCCAGCACCCTTGGAGTGGGGAGCAGAGGGGTTTACCTGCCCCACTGGGTAGATCTGTCACTGTTTGCTGGACGTGGCTTCACAGGGATAAGCTGGGATGTGGCAGCTCTGCCCCTTTTTGGCCTAACCCCATTTGCCTGCTACAGGTCCAGGTCCTTCTCTACTACCTGCAGCATCCTCCCATCTCCTTCACTGAGCTGAAACGCAACACACTTTACTTCTCCACGGACGTGTAGCCTGCAGGGAGAAGGCACCAGCTGCAAACACTCCCAGCTCCCTGCTCGGGGGACACAGACTGGATCGCAGCCCCCCAGGGAGACCGGCCCGGACCCAGGACGGTGCCACCTGCAGCTCCTGTACAATCGCGTACCAGTGGCCCGGTCCCACCCCAGGCGCCGTGCCTCTCTGTAAAGTAGTCGTGTCTTATGTCCCTTCTTGTGTTCAAGAATTGGTTTTATGTATATTTGTTCAACAGAAGAGGTAGTGACTGACAAGGGCTGTGGACACAGGCTTCTCCCTTGGCTAGTTTTCTCCTGGACTCCTCTCTGCCCGCTCACTCCTACCAGGCACCCCTCGTCTCACCCAGCTCGAAGCCTGCAGCATCCCACGAGTGCCTGCTCCGCTGCCCGGCTCCCCTGCCCTCCGCCTGCATGTGCAGCACCGGCTCACTTCCAGAGGCTGGGAGCTCACGGGCTTCCCTCCCCGCTGACGGTGACGACCAGCTCTGCTTTGGCTTGTTGCCTGCGCAAACATTGGACCCCGTGCCTGGATCCTGCTCTGGCCGGAGCAAACCTGCGACCACGAGAACGGAGGAGCGGGATGCTGCTTCCTCTTCGCCACGTCTCTTCGGGGTCCTCTCAGGCCAGTCCCCTCTACAGCCCTTACGCTGTGCTTTGCCTGTGTGCGTGTAGCGTGGCGGTTACTTCCCTCGCTGTATCTCGCCCCTGAGTAGCGTTTTGGGGTAACCCATCACACAAGGCTGGAGCGAGAGGTGCTGTGCTGGTCTCGACCCACGGCAGGCTTGAGGGACGACAGCTCTGCCCCCTCCGCCACAGGCCGACCCCAGGTCTGCGCTCTGGCACTGAAGGGGTCCTGTCAGGGCACGCGGGTCCCCAGAATTTTCCCATCAAGCCCTGGCAGGGCAGGGAATGGGGTCTCTGCTGTTTCCGTACGCCCGTATCTCTGCTGTAGCACGGCACCCACAGGCGAGGTGCGCACGCCGTTACCCCGCCAGCGCTGCCGCAGGGCTTGCCGACGCTGGCTGCGCCCCGTGGCAGAGCCTGCCAACGCACCGGCCACGTTCCTGTCACGGCCACGAGAATGGGGAGCGTTTTGTTTCCCTCCTCGGCCTTCCCCACTGCCCTGGGCCCACGGCAACACGTGGCCCTGCCTCCCTGCCAGCCAGACTGATGGAGCTGAGCGCTGTCAGCCAGCCTGGAAACCAGCACAGGGGGGTGGGAGGAGGAAAGCCCTCCTGGGCCTCGCTACCAAAGGCACAAGTGCTTCGTTTGCTCCTTCTCACAAAGCAGTTGTTGCTGGGGTAGCCGTGCCCGGCCAGCTCAGGTCTGTTTTAGTTAAGTGGCTCCAGTTCTTGACCCCCAGGCTGATGGCTGGAGTTGTCACCCACGCCTGGCTCCCAGTGTGTCCCTCACCCTCCCACACTCACAGGTAGGTGCTGGTACCTGTTGGGACACGAACCCTTTCGCTCTGTGAGCCGAGTCCCGTGTTCTCGTGGGAAAAGCCCCCTCCCCAGTTGCATTGGCCCTGTGCTCTCCTGTGCCAAATGGAGATGGATGAGAAGTGACCAAGCGTGTCCCTGCTACCAGCGGCCTTGCCTTCACCCTCCTGACTAACAGACTGTTCCAGGTAGAGCCCGGCCGCCTGCCACCGACGCTCCAGGTATGTCCTAAGCCCACCTCCCCGGGGAAGGCAGCACCTGCCAGCCCCACACCAGCAAAGCAACTCAAGGAGGGGAGGTTTTTCAGTCCCCCTCCAAAGGGCTCACACTCCAGACCCTGCTCCTCTTGACTACCAGCTAAACAGAAGGGAAACAGCATTGCAGAATACAACCAGGCGTCTGTCTTGGCCCTGGACCTAGGAAGGAGGCCGAGGTTTAGATCTGACTGCACAACAGATCCCTGTGTGTGTGTGTCTGATTTTGTTACATGTGTCCAAGTCTCTGTCCACGATACTGTCATTCCAGATGGAGACTCTGTACAGCCAAATCCCCCCGCGCGACAGTGGCTGGAGGCCCGGTCCACAACAGGCTGCAGCCGTCCCCGTGACTGGCTTGTGCTTGTTCCTACAGGAAGGAAAGAGGAAGGGGGGTGGACTCTTGCAGCTACAGGTAGAATAGAACTGTTAATTAATATTTGACTTTCAAAAGTTGTTCAGGATATATTTTTGTTTGTGTTCTGTTTCAATTTCTGTAGATTATAAACTTTAAATGGCTGTAAACCATGTGAGGAGAAAAAAAAAAATGTTAATAAAAATGCAAAGCCCCAACATTTGCACAAAAGGAGCCCCGTGGTATTGCTGATCACTCACTGATCACCTTGGCATCGCAGCTGCTTCTCTTTCTGCCTGGAATCTTGCTAGCTGCACTTCAAGCTAGTGGTATAAGCACAGGCATTGTGCCAGACAATCTTTTAAGAGACATCTTATGGTCTGGGCTACATCCTTGCATTTCAGTACATTCTGGAGGGGGGAAAAAAAAACCCTGGACCGTCTGGAGCCAGCCTGTTTAATCAGCCCAGAATTACTCAAGCTTAAAACTCAGCTGACTTGCACAGCTTCTGGCCCGAGGATACTGAACAGGCACAGCAAGGGCCATCAGGCGATCTGGAAACCTCATCTGATAGATCACGTGGTGCAGTCTCCCCACTTCTTTCCACGTGGGAAAGGGAGACAACATGCCTCCAAAGTGACCGCCGTAACAGCCAAACCACCCTGCTGGTGTTGCTCTTCCAGGTAACCGAGCGCTGTCACCAAGCTGGGATGTCAAACTGTGGATGCAAAGGAGAGGAAGCGGGTGGGAGACCCTCTGTTAGGTGCGTGCACCGAATCTGAAATCCCGCTGCGTCCTAAGGATGAGGGTGGGTGGTTTTGCCCTTGCGGAGTGGCTCAATGAAGGTTAAAATCAGCCTAAACTATTCAAGAGTATAAAAATTACCCCCTGAGGTCTGAGAACAGAGCTTGGTTAGAGGAGCAAGAGGGCTAATACAAATGCAAATGGAAAAGGGAGCAGCTCCCTGAGCTAATGAACAGATGTCCTGCCTTCAGCACCAACGTTCTGCAGAAACAACACTTCACTTTCCCCAGCGCAACACCGGGGCACTTAGAGGTGGTACAGGGACGTGATGGGAAACAGACTGTGTGCTAAGTGAATGCCCAGTTATCTAACAGTGGTTTATTCTCACAATTCTCCTTTCTAGTCTCGCTATCAAACTGCTGGAACTAATGGTATGAGCCTGTGGCAGTTAAAGCAGTAGCAAGATTATTTGTACTCCCACAGCGAGGTTAAATCAGGCTAGCCAAGTGGCTACAGAGAATTATACTTCTGCAACAACCTCTTTTTTTTTTTCCCCCCCTTAAACTGTTTTGTTCATCTGCCAGTAACCACACAGTTCTAAGGCTAAGGATTCCTTGCTTTTCCCTTTAAGACATGGTAAAGCAATTTGGCTTTCATCTCTGTACTTGAAATAAGACAAGTTGTCCAGATGGTGGTTTGTCTTCAGCTGGTATTTTAAGAAAAGCCTGGAACAAACTATTTCTCCACAGGATCTTACCTCTCCCTAACAGAGCAGCAAGCTGCAAACTGGTAACTGTTAAACACCTGCAGGGTGTTCCAATACACAGTAACCTACATCTCCACCTTTCTTTTTGAAGACTGTCCTCCTGCCTCTTTTGATGCTAGCAACAGACTTAATCAAAATCAGACCCAAAGGATCGAAAAAGCTCAGAGTCCAGGCTTGTTTCTTGGAAACTGAGTGTCAGCTGATCCGTCCTGGAGATACTGCTCACTGCGTCTGGCTCCATCCTCGCATACTCCCGCAAGTCTGCCTGAAGCAGCACGCCAGGGCTCGGAGCCAGATTATTGTTAGTCATTCAGGAAAAGCAGCCAACGCCATCCAGCTTGCGTTGATCAGGACTCCAAAGGCAGTGGAAAGGTAAGCCCGATGGTTCTTCTGCCATGATGCAGGCTCTTCGCAGCAGCACTGGACCAAAAGGGAAACTTACTCCCAAGGGATGCCACTGTTACCGTAGATAGTAATCAATCGCAGCGGAGAAAGCGGCAAATCCACCACAGCCAATAACCCCTGCCTGCAAACCAGCTGCAACGCAAAAAGGGTGGGAAAGAGAAAAATTTCTTCCCTGTAACTAGCTTACGCTGCGCTGGCTTGATGAGCTTACACCTGCAGGATCCCGGCGGTCCGCTACCAGGGTCACACCGGCACTTCCATGGCCCAAGGTGAGGGAGGGAACTGGGCACACACTGCACTTAAACTACCATGGCCCTGCACGGACTGGCCCGGCGCTGCGCTGCTCTCTCCCCCGAGGGCTGGAAGACAAAATCCCAGTGCCCATCGCTGATTGCAGTGCGCTTTGATCCGAGTGCTGCAAGTGGCTTTTGCTGTTGGACAAGTGATGCATAGGAAGAGCAGCTGCAGCTTTGAAAGCTCTAAGAGGATTAGGTCCAGGACAGACCCAACTTAACAAGCTCAGTTAGAAGCACTTTCTTTTATGCACTGCGTACAGGTTTTTTTCTTAAGAAGAGGTGAGAGCAGTTTGATATTTCTGATGAGCAGAGAAGCTCTTTTCCTACATGGGGTTTTTCTCCAGATAGTGTTAGCACTCGGGGCTTTCTAAAGTCCCCATCAGTGCCTGCTGGAATCAAATCCCAGTCAGTGCTCCTGCACTGAAAAACTGGCTATTTGATTTGATATAGGAGGAGGGAAACATTTGCACACTGTGGAAATTATAATAGAGTTACTGCCAGTGAAACAGCATATATAAGTAGAGCTCTGTTAACACAAGAGCTGTAACTTCAGACAGTTGCTCGGTATGTATTTTTGGCTCCCTCCCCACGACATCACAGAAGTGTGTGGATAGCAAACACCATTTCCTGATTTTCCTTTCAAGTCACTTCTGTTGATTTTCCTCCAATCCCACTGTCCTGTACGACCAAGCCTTCCCTGCCCACACTTAATCTTTCCAGCTGACAGGAAGGTGGTAGAGAGAGCAATTCTGCCAGTCTGGGGTACACTCTCATGCTGACATCGCCATAACCCTGTGCAAGGAGATTGTAGTGTGTGCTCCCTTAAAAACATCACATGCTACGTATCCAGATTCGAGCCTTATCACAAAAATAGTTCATAGCAGGTGCTACCAACCTCTGAAGCCGATTGCTCCTCCTGTGATGCAGCCGCT